AGAAAACCAAATGTTATTATCATCAAAAATAAATAGTCAAAATAATTTATTGTCCATTATGTACACTGTATAATCACCGAATAGAAAAAAGTATATCGTATCTTTAGGATGACTATCCCATGTCAGTTGGAAAATTTTGAACATAACGGGTTCTACTGTGAATTAATCTTTGACAGCAAAATAGTTATGTTTTCTTTATAGTTATGTTTTCTTTATAGTTTGCATAACGTTCATCAATAAATCTCAATGAAAGGCGTGTCCAATCCCGAAATAACTATACGTTTCAAAACTATTAGGGAGTCTTTTTAATCTTGTTCAGCCATTGCGAAAAAAAAACAAAGGAAATTTCTAACATAATATTCGAGTTTAGGTGAAAAAATTATCATTTTTGGAAAAAATTCCAAGTTTCACATCATTGAGAAAAGACGCCATCACTGATTCAGACTTGATAGCAGAGAATTCAATTTTATGAATCATTCTAGTTTTGTTCCAAATTTCACTTTTAATTGTAACATATAGGTAAGAAATTGTGGCCAATTCGATGAACAAGATTTAATTACTATTCTGTATTAGTTTTTGCAGTAGTTCAAAAGTCCTAATACGCTTCGATCCTCGTCTGTCAGAGGACTTCCAAATCTGACATTTATCTCATTACTTCTGCAGAATAGAAACTATGCTTCGTTGTCAGTTATATCAGCAATAGTATTAAGAAAAAAAAATAGAAGAGATACTTGCCACACCCTCACTACGAGCAACAACGGCAACCAATCTTATACTTGCGGCTCATTTCAAATGGCGATTCATTTAACAGAATCTGCAGGTGTTGTCAAAATTTTTCGTTTTGTTGACAATGAATATAATCCAAGATTATTTCCATTGATCAATGATTTTTTAACATATGAACTCGTAACTCTTGAACCATGTTTAGAGCCGATTGTGGTTCGAATTTATTTATTAGATCAAATCATTCAAATAGTCAAAGACAAGTATCTCACGCGAGATGAATCAGCTACAATATTTCTCTATACAATAGAATGGGATGGTAGTACTCTCTATCAAATGATTAATCGAGATCTTCATTCAGAAGAGCAGCCAGTTCCAACGTCTTGGCTTCCCTACCTGAAATTATTCTTTACTGCTTTAAATAAATTGCCCAATATTCAAATGAATGCGTGGCGAAGTATTCAAGAAGATACGATCAAGGAACTAGACAAAAACGATGAATTTATCTGGTGGAATATTACTTCATCCTCATCGTCGATTGATGTTATTAAAGATTTTATTGAAATAAATTCAAGATTATTAGTAATTAAAACAACAACTGGAAAGAATATCTCCAACTATTCGAATTTTCCAGATCAACATGAGATTATTCTTTGTTCAGATACTCGACTACGTTTCATGAAAAATATTCAAGATCCTAGATCTTTGGTAGACATAACGAATTTACAAGAGGTAACTTCATGCTCATGCCGATGAAATTGGGAATAGGTATGAAGGAGAATGAAAAGATGGCAAAAAGCACGGCAAAGGTAAAATGAATTATGCGAATGATTACAAATATAGTGGCGGTTGGGTTGAAGACGTAGCTACAGGCGAAGGCATCTTCATCTGGGCCAATGGTGATCAACACGAGGGACAACATCAAAAGGATCAGTGACATGGAAAAGGCTCGTATACTTATGCAACCGGTGACAAGTACACGAGCGATTGGTTCGAAGACAAGAAATCAGGCCACAACATTTTCAACTGGGGATCAATCAGTGCTTGACTCGACGGTGAGCGAGTGGCCGATCATTAGGCTATGACTTGGGCGACGAGAGATTGACCCACGGCGACATATTCAGAAATCTATGGAACTCAAATCCATGGCGTCCGTACTTGTATGTGAGCTCAATTGGCATAATCGTAGAATATTCGTGGAAAAAATTCGAAAAGCACGAGCAGAAAGAAACAGAAGAGACTGAGGCTGATGAAGTTGTTGCTCTTTAATTATGCTTTTTTATTGGTGGGTTTCTTTCCGAAACTACTGCGTGATTTGTACTTGATCAACTACACTGTTATGAATCTGCTTTTTTGTCCTGTGCTATATTAGAATGAACAGCTCCTAATAAAAATCGAAAAAAGATCTTCACATATTTGTTAGAGAGCAACTATTTTGAGTATTGTCTATCAAATTATCAATCACAATCCAGGGAAGTATTACAATGCTTCGTTGGTGAGAAAAATCTTGAATAATACGTGCACAGTTCGATATATTGATCTTCTTCGCACAAAAAAAATGGCATAAAATTTCGTTTTCTACGAATTGTGATTGTGCGTGTGTACACGGCTGATGATTACATGCCATAGCAGTATGAGAATCAAATTAATGACTTTCAACTGAAATTATATTTATGTTAGTGTATGATGGTGCCTTTGAGACATACAATATCGGTCTAGGCAAATTATTGAAGTGTTACTTAAACAGGTTTTTAGCTATTTCGACCTTCTGCATCCTTCTCTCTGATTAAGTAAGCATGGCAAACACATCCACACCGATACCCACCCACACTATCCTATAGCAAGGTTAAATATTTTTTATTTATACTTTAAAATTTACATTTTTATCAAGATATAGACAGTTCGTATTGACATAGTCTGTAGGTAAAAGAGAATACAACTTTGTTATTATCGTATTTCTGTTCCTTCACCTGAGATATCACAGATAGTTTCACTAAAACAAATTATGTAACACAACATGCTGATGCTGAATACTAGTGTTATTTCTAATGGCCATAAATTCTAATCGATGTTTTATTCTTAAAAGGATCTTAAAATTTGCATATGCATATAAAGTTACTCTCATACTCTGACCATGTTCAATTTTATATTTAAAATATCTGCGTATATTCGTTTGATTAATAAAACAATGTCGGAGATTTCTTTTGATTTTGATTTCATTTGAAACAGCATTTTTTGGTTATAAGATATTATCAATCTCTTTTATGATCTTAAAGAAAAACTGTCTGCTGTTCATGATAATGTAACTTTTATTTCAGCATGAAATAAAATGCAAGAACTTTTTTTGTAGAAAAGTCGTGCTCTGTTAGCTATTAGTAATCGAATTATCGAATAGCGATGCACTGAAATGCTTTCTTGCTAGTCACTGTTTATCGTTAAACGATGCCAACCATCTCAAACCATATAGAAACCAATGCCAATCTGTGTACTCCGTATGAAATGAATTTCATTGCACAAGTATCAGTTTCTTTTTTGCTTCTTTGTTGGCACTCGTCTTCTCTTTCGGTGATTGCTTTATTGCTTTTATGTGGAGTGCTTGTTTGATAAGAATTTTAAAAAAGGGAGATAAACACAGATAGCAACGGAAGATTAAGGTTTAATATGCTGCAAAAGAAAAAAACGAACCATTCGAAAAAACAAGCTAACGGTGTAGGACGCAAAAAATCCTATCAACAATAACATATTAGCAAATTTGCAAAGAACATTTCAACTTCAATTACTTGATCGTGGTGAGTGAATTATTAGGAAGATTCGAAAATGAAAAAAGACTTTTGAATGCTATATAATTAGCGTGAAGATACTGCGAATAGCCTACCTCTTTTCTACCACTCTATTCGTAAATTTCAGTTCTTCAGGAGATAAGAAAGCAAAAATTAATATAATGGGTCTCTGAATTTAATGAGACTACGCATAAAAAGGACACGGGGTCACAATAGTAAACTTTCGGTGTGTAAAAGTGTAATAACAGCGGAAAAGCTTATGGTCGCAAAGCCATATACACATGAAGGTCAGACCCTGTTAGTCAGAGATCGATACGTGTCAATAATGACGAGAAGCTTCCAACCGCAGCAAAACTTGTAACAGTAAGGGTGGAAAGCTTCGCTTTATTCACTAATGTGACGGAGTAAGAGGGGCAACCATCATCACTCACAGTGACGTGAAACGTCATTTGGGCTACATGGTCGTACTTCGAAGTTAGTGTGCAAGGTTTCGATCCTCCCACCAGTTTTTCAGGGCGATGGTGAAAACTTCAGGTCCATAGAGCAATCTATCAGAGTAACAGCTGAAAGCTTCAAGTAGTTTGCGAATCGCTGAGACTGGGGAAACAATTATGCACTGATAAGCACAAATCAAGATACGGGCACTGGAGTCTGGCAAAAACCTTAGAATAACAGACAGATGTGTTAGCGCAACAGTGTTCACGATGCGAAGCAGTGTCTTTGAATGACGGTGAAAGCTTATTCGTCACAGGAAAACCTCTGAGAGGAACAGCACACACTTTCAGAAGCCTATCATCTGTGTACGTAATAGTAAAACATTCAGCACTCGTGGAATGTCCATGAATGAGTGTGAAAGTTGTTTTAATACACAGGAATGTTGTAGAGAGGATGCACAAATTTCAGAAAATTTATCAATGTGTTATGTGTTTGTGAAAAACTTTATGATAGTGACTTATATCTCTAGGATATGGGGAACGGTTTTCGACTTCTGTGAAATTGATGAGAGGAAAAGCAAAAAACTTCAGAAGTGAACCATGTTTTGAAACAGTCAGACAAAGTTGCAGGCTATCGACAAAACGTCTCTGAGTGACTGCCGAAACTTTTAGGGGCACAGCGATTCGCGATAGGAAGAGGAAAAGTTCCAATGGCCGTTAAGGGTGCACTTTTCGAAGAATGTCTATAAGTGGGCGCGAAAGTTTTTTCATCGAAAAAGAAACACTCACAACGACGGCGAAACTTCGAAGCAACAAATGGAATCGTTATTAGTTCAGGAAAGATTCAAGGTACTGGTACATTTCTCTGGATAACGATGGAAACTTGCCGATCTCAAAGGAGTCGCTAAGAGGAAAAGCAAAAGACTTCAGACAAGTGATTCTGAATGTCGTGTGAGCATGGATACGTAGACAAGCGCTGACCTACACCAACTTACTCCTACGCCCCAGGCCCACACATGAAAACACTATAGTCAAACATCCATCCTCCGACACAACACCACCCAACATCCACATCGGCCCACTCGCACAGCCCCACACATCTCTTCACCTCATCTCACAGGGAAATGCTTTTAACGGTGTGAATGTAGATATAGGTGAGTCTATGACTGGCGTCAAAATGATAGGAAATATTTAGGAAACTGATTAATATGTCGGGTGCCCTAGAAAAAATTCACGCTACGGCCAAATGCCTCCAATTTTGAGTAGTGGAGAAACCCATAGTATCAGAGCGAATCCATGAAGGAGAGCTGCCTATCGTTGCGAATATGAAGAGAAAATGCTGAACTCATCGATTTGCATGTTAGTTGAAAACAAAACTTACAAATGTCTCATACGCATACCAAAGCGACTAAAAAAATTTTGAGAGTGTCTGTGCATCTGTTAGAGCATTGCGAAATACTTTCGAAAGCAGAGCGATTGTGCACTACTGAAAGGAGAAAGCTTCGAGGACGCAGAAATGTTTAAGCATGTTGAGATAATTATATTAATCTGGCGAGAGATGATGCTATATTAGTACATTGTTGTTTTTAATGATTTATTAATGCTTGTATTATCTATTGTCTTTGCTTCATATCGCATCTATCGTACGTACTTTCTTCAGAGTTCTGTTCTTTTCTATGCTCACTCAACTCTCTTGTTGATTCATATATAGAAGCGCTGATCGAAAGGAACGGAGAACTAATGTATACGCGGGCAAGCACATGATTTGTCCAACTATATAAATTGAAAAATATACTAAAATAGAATGGAAGCCTCTCTTAGGAGATAAAGCTCTGATATCAGTGGATTTTGTCATATAGTACATAGAAGGAAGCCTTGGCGGATAGAAATTTAAGGCTCACGAGCTTTTCTTCTCAATAGTAAGTACTGAGTACAACAAAGTTTTTCTTCAATGGAATATGTATTCAGAATAATCTGTATTATCACGACAGTGACCATAGATATAACAACATTTCAAAATAGTGAGATCTGTCCAAAGTAGATAAAGTCAATGAAAAAAAATGGGTGAAGACCATATAAAAAATCACCGGCATGCTAAATTTAAAAAAAAACAGTGCTTTCTTAGCTGTTTCAAACGGACCAACAATTTAAAATGAATTTTTTACTAGTCAAACATTATGATTCATACAAGCCAGTGAAATTGCAACTTGATGCTATCCACTTCCTTAGTTAATACGATGTTTTCTTACCCTAATCTCTATGCTTCCATAGAGCTCATAAATAATTGTTCGCTAACGTTATTCATTTTATTGTTATCTGCGAAAGCACGAATTAATAGCTCACATACT